ATGACTACAACGTACCTGCCTCTTCACTCAGTTTCTTAAACCCAGGCTCAGTGGGGGTTGAACTAGATGGACTGCATGACTCGAAACTGTACCCCGAACAGGTAGTTGTGCCATTCAAAGGCAGTCGGGACCAAACAGTCCACTTGGCTATATCAGCATCTTCAGGAATGTCCAACTGATCATACCAATACTTTGCGGGTCCAAATCGCCAGGTGTTGCGGCTGAAAAAAAAAACACCCAAAAATTAAGTACTTGGTAATGGCGTCTGCATATCGCATAACTTCGCAATTGACTGGGAGGTTCCGCGTATTTAAGGTGTCTGGAAAGAGCAAAACTTGATTTTCTCTTGCTCCTACTTGTAGAAGCTACATTTTAAGTGGGCTGGCGTAAAGGGCAGACGTACTTAAACATGTTGGGCTGGAGAAATCTCGCGAGCGAAAGAGTTATCGGCCCGTTCTCACAGTTACAGAGGAATTACCTGGCCTTACAGGCAATTGCACGATGTATGTAATGTCCTTGTGAATTAAGGCAAGCAACGAATAATCTACTGGCAGAGTTTAGGCACGATGTGTAATAGAAAAGATGAAGTAAACATGATCAGTACTAGACAACAGGGTTGGGATAACTTAAATGAAATAATGTACAGTTTTCTTGTCGGTAATTGCGTCAAAAAGCACTAGAGTAAGTAGCTGTACGTGGGAACTCCTTAGATATAGCAGGAAAGAGGTTTTTCATAGACTGTGATACCTCCAAATGTCAGAACATTCTAACAGGGAAGCTGATAATAAAAAGCCTTACTAAAATGGTAGACATTAGCTTCCAGAGCACAATATGAGGGAAGTAGGAAATACCCTTGAAAACTTACACACAACAGGCATTAGATGGAAGATTCATACCAAAAGAACAAGTGCGCAAAGTATTTCCCCCTGCCAACTTGACACTGCTGATATAGGACACGGAAGAGGGGGTGAAGTGAGCCTAGCTCAGATCCTTACTACGAACAGTAGAACACGATTGTGAACTACCATGGTGAGCTAACAGGTATGACTTGGCGGATTACCAACTGACGAGATAACTTGACCCTACTTGAAAATAAAGATCAGGTTGGGATGGCTCTCTTTTACTGTGGTGTTTGTGCCGACCCTATTTATGTGAAATCCAAAACCTATAACTTCTTTGGAGGACTGGCACGCTGAAAATTAGGGACGATGCCACGGTGTGGAACGCAGATGGGCTGTTTAACTTGCCAGTCAATGTGCCTAACCCTAGTCGCCTTAACCTTTTCTCGCTAACAACATATGGTAAGCGTAGAGAGGATGAAGTAGACGCTGAACAAGTACACCGCAGTGAACAAATTCAGTCACAATTTACCCCACAAACAGAGGCAGCACTTCTTGCACGTTCTATGGATAGTAATAAATTCACTTCACCTACAGCTGCTTTGTACGGTAAACAGGATAAAATGAACCATCAGGTGTAAATGCCCATGAATGTAAAATGTGAAGTTAGTCAGAACCAAATGCCTTGTGTCCTACTAAAAAAAAACAAATAACCCCGCAAAACGGTGGGAGCTCCTAACATCGCGCAATATTACATATAAGACTTTACGTGGACCGAGAGAGAGAGAGAGAGAGAGAGAGAGAG